TTTAATTATTTAAAACAATTCTTTCTGTTTCTTAAAAGAAAATACCCAAAGGAAAAAGAAGAACTGAAAATAGTCTCCACCTCCTGTGATACCATTTCTCTCCAAATATCATGGCACAATTGTTGGTTTGTAACTGCATTGGCTTAAAAATGAAATAGAAATGCAATATGTTAAAGCAAATATGCTAAGTAAATAAATTGTTTTCATAACTCTCAAAAGTCCATGTGGATAATAGCACAATGGAAAATTGTACAAGATAAATAACACTTATTTTAATAATTTTGTTTTTTAAAAATTTGAGATTAAGTTTCCACATAAAGTATTCCTTTTAACCTAGATTTCCAAATTTGAAAGCAGAGAATAAAATTAAAATAATTATGTGAAAAATAAACCTCTTAGGAAAAGGATATTCATGGTTCTCAGAACTGAGATGGCCCTTAGATTGTCATCTGCTAGTTCATGGCACAAAGAGGGCTTATGTGCTGTCTAGGTGTTTTTTTTCTTTTTTTGACAAGTAAATTAAGCATCTGAAATATAGAACAGTATATTTTAACTAATTGAACTGTACTTGTATTTTGTCAAAAATTTACTTAATACATTTTTAGAATTATTATAAAATTATAATTTTCCTGATAGAAAATTGAAAAATGTAGATAAATAATAAGAAAAAAAGAAAACCATCCATAACCCCATCAGTCAGAAATAATTACTGGATATATTTGAGTCTTAAAAAATGCATTTATATCTGTCTTAGTCAGTTTAGGCTGCCATAACAAACTACCATTCCTTGAGTAAAGTAGTCATATTTTAAGTTACAAGGAACTGAAAGTTGATTTGACCTGGAGGAAGATCCAAATGGTAAATCAAATTCATGATTTATGCTATTCAGAAAAGGGCTTGCTCAAATGCAGAACTCCATAAACACAAAATACCTCTCACTAGTCCTGGACTTTTCATCTAGAGGTCAGGTAAGGTTAAAAAGAATAAATATAAATATTATATAATTCATGACCAGAATCCTAGAATGGTAAACAGAAAGGCCTTTGAAGTCCTAGTACAACAGCTAGTCAGTTCACAGAGGAAGATGTTAAAACTTGATGAGACAGCTCGGGGTCATGGAAAACCTTTAGACTTGTGAGTTAGAACCTGGGTTCAAATTCTGGTTCTGACACTTATCACATGTAAATAGGAAAATGTACTCAGTCTCTTGGAGCTTTAGTTTTGCCATCTCTCATAAGCGGTTAACATTAACTGGTTCACCAGGCTATTGTGCAGCCAGTTCCTTTCCTGTCCTTTAATGACTTACCCGAGGTCACTTAATTAGTCACACAGAGCCCTTCCACCTGGTTATTCATCATATGTTCTGTTCACTATATCCTGGCTTCTCTTCTAGTTAAGCATTTTGAAGCATGGCATATTAAGGCACGTCATTTTAATTAAAAATTGACTAGAGCGCCCTGACCAGTTTGGCTCAGTGGATAAAGAGTCGGTCTGCAGACTGAAGGGTCCCGGGTTTGATTCCAGTCAAGGGCATGTGCCTTGGTTGCAGTCACATCCCGATTGGGGGGGGGGGGGGGGGCGGTGCAGGAGGCAGCTGATTGATGTTTCTCTCTCATGGATGTTTCTGACTCTCTATCCCTCTTCCTTTCTCTCTGTAAAAAATCAATAAAATATATTTTTAAAAATTGACTAGAACAAAACAAAGGTGTGGCAAGTACTCCTGTTGACCCAGTTTTCTCTGTCAGTGCTTTCCTGCCAGAGACCACCAGGAGCACAGCCGTAACAAGCAAGTTGGGTTTATTACTGGTTGCAAAGAGGCGACCACACACCCTGGGCGATGAGGGACATTTCAGTAGAGGGTGTCTGAACAGATTCTTATAAGATCAAGATTCAGGTGATTGGGGAGAAGGTTTAAGATGAAGTGGCGTTGCGCTGGATGGCTGCTACCAGGAAATGGAGATAATTATATGATTAAATATTTTTAAAATATTATGTATAAGGTAGAAAAACTAAAGTGAGGCTAAAGCTATAATGGGAAGGAGCAGTTACGACAGTTTCTAGATGTCAGAAGCTGCTTTTTTTGTTTGTTTTCTTTCCCATCCCCCTTCTCTCTTGCCACCTCTAGGCCCACAGGGCCTTGGGGACAAAATTTCAGCCAAAGAGACACAAGCAAGCATTTTCTGGGAGCTTCCTGATAAGTCATTTACTTTCAGATATTGGTACCACACCTTGTTGCTCTCATCCTTCTTCTTCCCGGTGGAAAGAGGATATAATTGTAGAAGCTGCACAGCCTTTTTGTAATTATGAGGAAAAAGTTAAGGAAATCTCAGTCTTTGGCATGATTCAGCAGCTGAACCAATCTCAAAACTCTGAAATCTGGATTTCTCACTATGGGGAAGAACACTCCCCCATTAAAAAAAAAAAAAAAAAGCCACTCTAGTTAGGCTGTTTGTGACTTGTAGCTGAAAGCATTCCTAAAACATTAATTATTCATGTTCATTATTTACTAAACTAGACATTCTTCTGGCAGCCAAATGTTCTTCTGGTGGCTCAGAGCATAGTCCATTTGGAAACTGAGCTTGGCAATACCCTATTTTAAAAAGAAAACTAGGCTTCTGTTAAGTGGATAAATTATTGTTCTTTCTGCTTCATAAGGTTTGTCATTATTCCTTTGTTCAGATGCAATTGCTTCCTTGGTTTTGGAAACCTGCATAAAAAATGAAAGCTTTAGGAACTTTCCAGGTTAGGTTCAGCAGAAAGAAGTGGGGGCGCATTTTTGTAGGCTTAAATGTTGAAAGGGTGAATACAGCTGTAAACCTAATTGCTGGATAATTGTGACTTCAGCATTGTAATTTCTGTGCTCAGAGAAATGGGTGCCTTTGGCCATTGTGATTTGTTAAACCTAACAATGCATTTGTAGTCACAATAAGTAATGCTTATTGACTCAGTAGAAAGAACTGCTCTCCTGGGGGATAATTCCCTGGTTACTGTGTGCTACTGTGGTTAGCAGGTTAGGCTCGCTGGTGCAGAATCAATGCCCACTGGAAAGCTGATCATGTGTAGGGAGGTGAGGAGGAGGACCATAGTTAATTGCTGTTAATACTTAGTGGGCAGAACAACTAAACCACAGGGCTAGAAGGAGTCCAATGTCTGCTAGATGTGGGGTGAGAGTTCTTAAGTAATGATACATGAAAATGTTCAGGGAAACTTCATGTATTGACAGCTTGGATTTGCATATTGAAAGTTACGTGCCTATAATCAGAATAAATTTTACTCTACCTACTAACTGGAAATTATTCTACAGGTGTTTCTTTTCTTATCTCTCCCTCTCCCTTGCACATAGTAGGTGCAAAATAGTGGTTGTTCAAGAAATGGCTAAAAATGTATTAAAACTTGGCTCTGCAGAATGGCTCTGCAATGGCGACAGTAAGAATTATCAAAATATTTTCTTTAAATAATAAATTATTTATCAGATCACAATTTGTATATTACAGACACTGAATAAAATATATTGACATTCACCGTGATGAACACAAAATATCTAGATGCAGGTAAATTTAATAATGGATGAGGGAGATTCTTGTCCACTCAGTTTAATGGAATGTGAGTCTTGCATGGAGTGCTGGACCGCACTGGAAAAATATGTCAGTGCATAAAACAGACCAGTGCCTCTAATTTTCTAGGAAACACGTAACAGGACATTACAACTAAACAGTGTCACAAAATAAGTTTAAGTTTCTACACTCAAAATGTTTATAAAAGGACTGATTTCCCCCACCTCCAGGTCTTATAGGCAGATGGAATGAATCCTTCCAAATGAAATAGTTCCTATAAACTTAATCCACTGAGGAATTATTTGTTGTAGTTATGTGTTAAAATCACAGGAACTATCTACCTTCACCATTATTTAGTAAATTGCAGAAAAACACTAAAAAAGGAGCATGCAGAGGCCCAGTTTCGCAGTAACCATATTCAGTCTGATGGTCAGCATGCGGGATTCTCAGCTTCTCTCCCCACCCTGTTTCTCCAGGAAGAATGCTCTTTGACATGGAGAGGACATCCATGCTGGGAAAGGTATTGCCAAAGAAGTTCAGATCGGCTGCTTTTCTGATTTGAGGGATTGGTACTGTCGATAATCCTGCCAAATTAAGTTCTGATGAAGTATGCATTTTGATGAACTTATTTTGAGAGAATGAATGAATGAAAGAAGGGTCAGGCTTTATTTAAAAGTATATTCACTAGGAGCTTCTCTCTGGATCTGGTAAAAACCATAATAAGGGCGGAGGAAGGGGCAGTTGCAATTCAGTGAAATAAGTACCAACTCGGATGCATAAACTTTCCAATCAGAAATAGAAAAGGGAGTCTGGAAGGAATGACCCTATGTTGTGGAGTGATATGACCGACCTAACTGTTAAGGGAGAAGGAGGAGTTTCCCAGGTGGGCAAGGAAAGGGTTGGAATCTAAAGAGTTTAGATCAGTGATGGCGAACCTTTTGAGCTCAGCGTGTCAGCATTTTGAAAAACCCTAACTTAACTCTGGTGCCTTGTCACATATAGAAATTTTTTGATATTTGCAACCATAGTAAAACAAAGACTTATATTTTGATATTTATTTTATATATTTAAATGCCATTTAACAAAGAAAAATAAACCAAAAAAAATGAGTTCGCGTGTCACCTTTGACACGTGTGTCATAGGTTCGCCATCACTGGTTTAGATGTTCCAGTAGTCAGGATACCCAAAGTGTCAATGCAGCAGCAACCACGTCTGCATCACTCAGTGCAGCAATCCTGGCGACTGGGAGAGCGCCTGCTATTATAGGTGCTTAATGTGTATTAAATAAGTAAATGAATGAGGAGCCACTACATTTTTTTTGAGAAAAGGAACATCCAATTAAGATTTAAATTTTGGGAACATTACCAACAGCAGTGTGAACACGGAAGACAGGGTGTGTTTATTTTCTATCGCTGCTGAAACAAATGACCACAAACCTAGTGGCTTAAAACTACACAGATTTATTGTCCCCCAGTTCTTTGGGGCAGAAGTCCAATGTGGGTGTCACTGGGTTAAAATCGAGGCGTTGGCAGGGCTGTCTTCCTGTGTGGAGGCTGAGGATGATCCATCTCCTTGGCCTTGCAGCTTCCAGAGGCTGCCTGCATCCTTGGCTCATGGCCCCTTCCTCCTGCTTCCTGCAGCCACACTGTCTTGGACCCTTCCTCCATCTTCACATCTCTCTTTGCTGACAGTCTAGAGAGGTTTGCTTTTTTTTTGGGGGGGGGGGCAAGGAGGGGCTCATGTGATTAAGTTAAGTCCACTTGGATAATCCAATATAGTCTCCCTTATCAGAGTTCTTAAGCTTAATCACACCTGCAAAATCCCTTTAGCCACGGAAAATAAAACAATCCCAGGTTCTGGGGAATAGGAGGCCCTTACTCCGTCTACCACAGGGGCATGAAGGGGCTTCCCAGTACTCAGTGTAAGAGACTAGTAAGGCAATTGTGACAGGGAGGATAAAGCTCGTTCACTAAACCGTTTTTGCTTTTCCTTTTTTGCCAGAAAGACAGGCTATGTTTTGCACCTTCTTTATACTTAGTTGCGATCAATGGGACTAAGTTCTGGCCATGGGAGTGCTGTCTGGCTTCACCAGGCCTGGCCCCTTCATCCTCCAGGCTTTCTCTCCCCTGCTGGCTGGACCTGGGGGGTCCAGCAGTGCACTCCAAGGCCAGGGGGAGGGGAGAGGCTCTAGCTAGAAGCTGCTGGGTTCCTTTGTGGAGCAGAGACCCTTAGCAAAGCACTCCGCACCATGATTTGCATAAGAAATAAAACTTTGTGTTAGCCTCTGAAATGTGCGAAGTGTTTCCCAGAGGAGACAGCCTACCTGCCTAACATTGAAATTTGCACCTCCCAGTAGGGTGCTGCTGTAGCAACAACAAATAAGGCATTGAGAGTGTTTGGCCAGTGGGCGGTGAGGATCCTAACATTAGGGACTTGACATAGAGTCATCCATGTTGTGAAGGGGACAAACCTGGAATAACTTTGGAAGGCAGGATTCATGCTTCTGATTCTTATAACTTTAGGACAGTGATTCTTAACCCTGGCTACATATTAGATTCACTCCCAGAGATTCGGACTTAACTGCTCTGTATGTATGTGTTGGGGGAGGGCGGTGGTGGCAGTGGCATTAGTATTATTTTAACAGTTTTTCAGATCATTTTAATGTGCATCCAGGCTTGAGAACCAAAGCTCTAGATTAGAGGTCAGCAAACTTTTTCTGTAAAGGGCCAAATAGTGAATATTTTGAGCTTTGGGAGCAATACCACCTCTGCTACAAATATTCAATTCTGCTAAGATAGCATGAAAGCAACCATGACCACATGTAAGTAAATAGATGTGTCTGTGTTTTAATAAAACCTCATTTACAAAACGGGCAAGCAGCTGGATATTACCTGTGGGCCATAGAGCCGATCCCTTCTCCAGGAGACTGATTCTTAAAACTTCTTCTCAAGGCTCCTTGACCCTTTTAAAGATCACCAAAAGCTTTTGTTTACATGTTATATCAAGTAAGAATGACCATATTGAAATTAAAACTGAGAAGTTAAAAATATTAATGAACTGAAAATAATTATAAATCCATTATGCTAACGTAAGTAACATATTTTATAATTGTATTTTCAAAAAATGAGTAAAAAGAATGGTATTGTTTTACATTTTTGAAAAACTATGATTTCTAGCTTCATGGGAGACATATAGATTCACGTTTGCTTCTTCATTCATTCTGTTCTGAGACGTTATTTTAGTGAATGTATCTGAAGAAAAGCTGGCCTCACACAGATGTGTAGGTATTTCATGTTAGAAGAACAATTTTCTTCTTTTGAAGAAGTATTTTAATAGCCTTTCAGATAGTTGTGGATTTACTTGATACTACATAATAACTACCATGATAACTTTTTAAAAAGTTGATTGCAGTGTGAATCTGAAACCATATCAATGAACTTGAAATTCATAAAAATCCATTGGCTTACTTGCACTTTAAAGGGATCTTTAATGTATGCATGATTTTGTAATATCTTATAGTGGTTACTTTGAAGATATTGTTTCATTGAGTTATATTATTGACATGCTTCATTATCTAATATTTGTTTAAAAATCACATTTGTTAACATTACCATTGAGCTTTTCAGAATTCAGAAACTATCAAGCTGGTGGTGGTGGATGCAAATTTTCCAAAATTCGAATTTTCATTTGAAAGCTCACGTCTTCTCATTGGCAAAAATTACTCTCAGGCTGTTCGCCTTCAAGTGAGAGGCTCACTCATTTATTTTCCAAGAAATGACTGACAAATAGCCAAGTCTGGAAACCAGATTTTGTTTATCACTTGTTCTCTCAAGTAAGAATGATGCTCCATAAAAGATAGATGAGTTCAGTTTGCAACTCAATTGCATATCGCAGCAGCAGAACTGTTCTGTGCTCTTTCCTTTCGGTCCCACAGAATATGTGGAAGACCTGTCCTCAAGGGTTGAGATTTAACAAAGTAAATAATTTTACTTTTTTGTCAAGGGCATTTTCAAGCTAAATTGGTTTTTCTTGTTTTAAGTAAGTAATTGGCAGCAAATATGATACAATGTCCAATGATACAATGACATGGTTTAGTAATTCCTCAATTTGTGCTAAAGCACCAATAGTTTTACCCACCATTGTTTTTGAAGCATCAGTGCAAATGTTAACACAGGAGAAAAGGCAAATAATCTCCTTATTATTATGAAAGTACTAGAGGTCCGATGCACGAAATTCGTGCAAGGGGCTCGGCCCTCGCAGCCCTGGCTTTGTCTGGAAGGTCGTCTGGACAGTCGTTCTGCTGTTTGGTCTAATTAGCATATTGGCTCTTTATTATATAGGATTTTTGACCTTGTGGATCCACTAATGAAACGGGTCTTTGGGCTTCTCGGGGTTGTGCCCACCACACTTTGAGAACAGCTGCCTTAGGGAAAGTGTTTTAAAAGAATTAGAGTGTTGTCATGTAACAGTTGTTATTGGCTTCCTTTGGTCAGGTGTTTCAAAAAAGAGACACGCTCAGAAACAACTGAACAGAAAACAGTATGGAGAGTCTAAAGATCGGGGTGAAAAGTGGTCGGAAAGCCAGCTGCTTCCACATTCCAAATGGAGCCACAAAGGGCCAGTAAAACTTCTTAGTTGGGCACATGGTTTAGTTCTACAGCAAAGATCAGATTAAAGGTGTGGCCTTCCCATTAGAAACCATAATCAACTAATTGCAGCAACTTAGCTGCAGTTGCGGAGAGAGATGGGGAGAAGGGTGGGAGGGAGAGGAGAGACCCGAGAATTACAGATGGAAGCAAATACGAGAGAAGTCTACCAAGCTTTTGAAGAAGTTGTGCTGTCAAGAACCCAAAATAGACCAAAAAATACTTCCGACTGAGCTGTAACATCACCTTTTAACTTGCAAACTTTTGGTAACACTCATTTCAGTGGTGCTGAAGGGGAATAAATAGTAAGAACTCCTAAGAGCAGAGGGTCAAGGAGGAAAGGGACAAGGGAACGATTCCCAGAGAGCAGAATTAAAGTTCAATCAAATAACTCACTCTCTCAGAGTAGGGCCTTCATAAGACCTGCCAAGCAGGATTTCAGAATTGCAACGGACTAGTGGGCACCACTTGCCTGCCATTCTTACCCTTTTGAATGGCAGTTTTAACTGCATTTATTCTCTCCCTGCTCCCATTGTACATAGACTAAGCCCATAACAAGACTGCCTTCTCTCTGCTCTCACCTGCCTGCCAGTTACAGGGTCTGGTAGAGGAGGTGGTACAGCCATTGGATGGAAGGAGCCTGGTTACCTGAATGGAGTAGATCCTGCCCATCAACTTGCACTGGATTGTGACATGAGCAAGGAAAAAAAAATTATTGTGCTAAACCATGGATATTTTTGTCACCACATTTGTTGTTACAACAGTGCAACTACTCTGAATAACGTAGAGGCTATTTCATGGATCTAAACATAAGAAATTGAACCAAGACAGTGGCAGAAACTATTAAGAAGAAATAAATAGTTTAGAGGAAGAATCAGTAAGCTCTCATAGACTGGGGAGAGGGGATGTGAGAGCAGAATGAGGGAGAGCAGGGAGTCTGGGATGAGTTCTAGATTTTTGTCCTGGTTGTTGTGGTAGTAGTTTTGAATGATACTAATAGAACAATTCCATGAAGTCCAAAATGAGGTAGCCGTTTGGGGGCTAAGAGCTTGAGAAGTTTGGAAAGGAGGCATATACAGGCAATCGTTAGGATATACAGGTGGTGGCTAAAGCTACGGGAAGAAGCAGCGGTGGATGGAATTTATTGGGAAGACAATTCAGAGGGAGAAGAGCACAGAGGTCATTTAATTAAGAGCAGAGAGACTAGAGTCAGCAAAAGAGAACAATAATAAATACCTAGAAAATAAGAAAAAAAATGACAGAAAAGAGTAGATCACAGAAACCGAGTAAGAAAACAGTTTGAAGAATTATGAAATGGTAAACAGTCAAATATTGCAAAGAGATCAAGAATAATAAGAGCCAAGTATTTATTAGATTTTAAAATTAAGAAGGTATTGGTGACCTTCATGAAGGTCATTTTAATGGAGGATTGATGTAAAATTCAGGTCACTGTAGGAGAAGAGTCTTATGATTTTATGGAGGAAAAACAGACTGACGGTGTTAAATCTTGACCAAGGTCCATAGTAAATGTTGGCTTATTGCTTTGAAATCTTGCCTATCTGATGCTACCCCCCAGGCTCCTCCACCATTCCAAACTAAATCTGAAAAGTGCACTTAACTAAGGTGCTGATGGGTGGTGGTCATGTTACAGCAGGATAAAAGAGAAGGCTTATAGAAAAGATCCATATCTATTTTCAGAGAGAATGATGTAGAGCAGTTACTAGTTTTCTAAAATATTTTCTGAGAGAGTATTTCTCACCTCCCCCCATTTCTTCCCTTTTCACTTTCTGTTTCTTAAACTGATTCTACTCATTTTATTGGCAACTAGGAGTCAAATTTTATAAAATGAATGGGTGTGTTAATGTTACTTTTTTTTTTTTTTAAAGTAGGGTAATTTTGGTTTTAGAACACAGGGCATATCAATCTCCTAAAATAATGTTTAAGTAAGATGACTGATAGAACTTTTTCTCTAAAGTCTTATAAAACTTAGTTAGTAAGATCAAAGGCTACAAAAGTTTAATAGCCACCTTCACATTTACCAGATGCCTTGTTAGTAATTCAGTTTTAAAGTAGAAATCCTAAGCCAGTCAAAAATAGAGCCTAATGTTTTTAGGAGATTTCACATATTATTTTTAAAAAAGTAAATATAATGAATAACCCTAAATGCTGTCCTGGAGCACTATTTCAAAATAAGCACATTAGCAAAATAAACAAGATGTGAATCAACCCGAAGAAGCTCCTACTCTTCAGACTGCAGATCTTGTGTAGGAAATCTCACTTTTTTTTCCTTTCCTTTCCTTTCCTTTCCTTTCCTTTCCTTTCCTTTCCTTTCTTTCCTTTCCTTTCCTTTCCTTTCCTTTCCTTTCCTTCCTTCCTTTCCTTTCCCCTTCCCTTCCCCCTTCCCCCCTTCCCCCCTTCCCTCCTTCCCTCCCTCTTCCTTCCTTCCTTCCTCCTTCCTTCTTCTTTCTTTCTTTCTTCTTTCTTTCTTCTTTCTTTCTTTCTCCTCCCTCCCTCCCTCCCTCCCTCCTCCCTCCCTCCCTCCCTCCCTCCCTCTCTTCCTTCCTTCCTTCCTTCCTTCCTCCTTCCTTCCTCCTCCCTCCCTCCCTCCTTTCCTTCCTTCCTCCCTCCCTCCTTTCCTTCCTTCCTTCCTTCCTTCCTTCCTTCCTTCTTTCCTCACCCAAGGATATTTTCCCCATTGATTTTTTTAGAGAGAGAGAGAGAGAGAGAAACATTGATGTGAGAGAGACACATTGATCGGTTGCCTCCTGCACGCACCCTGACTGGAGCCAGGGATTGAGCTTGCAATGGAGGTATGTGCCCTAGGCCAGAAGTGCTCTAACCACTGAGCACCAGCCAGGGGTCTTTTATTTCATATAAAAATTTTGTTTGAAATAAAGGAAATTAATTGGCGTCACTTGAATCTATTATTCATTAAATTTACTATTTTTCTACAAAGTAACGTTTCTTGGCATCTACTGATTCCCTCATCTGGAATGCCTGCTAAAATATTTTCATTAACGTGTTATATTTACCAGTAAAAGATCTTCCAATTTGGGACTCAGAATACTTAATTTGGAGTATACGTAAAGTCAGGAGTAAATGCAGTCAGCATTTCAGCATTATTAAACATAAACTTTGATACTGTCTTACATCAGTTGCAGTTTTCGCTAGTATAATTCATTATTACTTATTCGCTTTGCATTTCTAGAGCAAATATTTCTATGATATTTATGCATTTGGATGAAGTGCCCCAGTAGAAAAGAAGCATTTACATTTTTTGAAGGCTGTGGCGTAGTGATGAGAAATTGATAAATAATCTGTCTTTATGCAAAATAATTAAACGTTTGTGCACGCACATTTGATGCATGCCCCGTTTTAAAGATGTTAAGCCCCATCTGATTACCCATGTTTTCTTAAAACAGAGAGGCAGATGATAATCTTCTCCTGAAAATTACTTAGTTGAGAGGAAACAATTTAAAAATAAAGAAGCACTCCACTCCAACCTGAAAAATCTGTATTTTTTTAAAGCTGCATATGTATAAGTATAAATCTAAGTAGGAAAAATGTAGCTATCATATACCAATTACACATGTGACATAGGAGGTAGGGAAATGGATGTGCTCCACATTTTAAGGGATATAATTTTGTAATGCGCACTGCCATATAAGAGATTAAAAGAAAACAAAGTCTATGAAAAATCAAAGCTAAAATAAGCTTATTTCTATTTCCAAACTAAGCTTCTTAGCAACTTTAAACCATTTTCTAGTTGTTCTCATTGAGACTTAAATTTATCCTATTCTAAAAATTAGTTTAGAAGATCACCAAACATTCTGCTTATGAAATTGAATATCTTACTTAAGAGCTGTCCATTTCGAAGAATATACTGTGTTCATGGATTGGTAGAATAAACATCATTAAAAGGTCCATACTACCCAAACCAATCTATAGATTCAATGCAATCTTCATTAAAATACCAATGACATATTTTAATGACCTAGAACAAACTCTCCGAGAATTCATATGGAATTAAAAAAAAGACCGTGAATAGCCACTGCAGTCTTGAGAAAGAAGAACAAAGTTGGAGGGATCACAATACCAGATAACAAGCTATATTACCAAGCCATGGTTCTCAAAACTGCTTGATACTGGCACAAGAGCAGACATATAGACCAACAGAACAGAACAGAGAACCCAGAAATCAACTCAAGCCATTATGCTCAATTAATATTTGACAAAGGAGGCAAGAGCATACAATGGAGTCAAGAAAGTCTCTTCAATAAATGGTGTTGGGAAAATTGGACACATGCAAAAAATGAAACTAGACCACCAAAGTACACCATTCACAACAATTAACTCAAAATGGATAAAGGACTTAAATGTAAAACGAGAAACCATAAAAATCTTAGAAGAAGCCATAGGCAGCAAAATAGCAGACATATGTCGTAGCAATATCTTTACCAATACAGCTTCCAGGACATTGGAAACTAAGGAGAAAATAAAGAAATAGGACTACATCAAAATAAAATCTTCTGCACAGCAAAGGAAACCATAAACAAAACAGCAAGAAAGCCCACTGCATGGGAGAATGTTATCTCTGATAAGGGTTTAAGCTCCAAAATTTATAGGGAACTCATATAACTTAACAAAAGAAAGATAAACAATCTAATAAAAAAATGGGCAAAGGACCTAAATAGACACTTTTCAAAAGAGGACATACAGAAGGCCAAGAGACATATGAAAACATGCTCAAAGTCACTAATCATCTGAGAGATACAAATCCAAACAACAACGAGGTACCATCTCACACCTGTCAGAATGGCTCTCGTCAACAAATCAACAAACGACAAGTACTGGTGAGGATGCGGAGAAAAAAGAACCCTCATGCACTGCTGGTGGGAATGCAGTATGGAGTTTCCTCAAAATATTAAAAATGGAACTTCCATTTTACCCAGTAATCCCACTTCTAGGAATATATCCCAAGAAAACAGAAACACCAAATCAGAAAGGATATATGCACCCCTATATTCATAGCAGCACAATTTACAATAGCTAAGCTTTGGAAACAGCCTAAGTGCCCATCAGCAGATGAATGGATTAGAAAACCATGATATATCTACACAATGGAATACTACACTGCTGTTAAAAAAAAGGAATTCTTACAATTTGCAACAGCATGGATGGAACTGGAGAGCATTATGCTAAGTGAAATAAGCCAGTTGGAGAAAAGATAAATATTACATGATCTCACTCATGTGTAGAATATAATGAGCAACATAAACTGATGAACAGAACCAGAGTCGTAGAAGCATCAAACAGATGGTACAACCTATGAAGAAAGGCAAGTGGGGGGGATTGTGGTGAGGGGATAAGAGATCAACCAAAAGACTTGCATGCATGCATATGAGCATAACCAATGGACACAGACAGTAACGGGGTGAGGGCATGTACTGGGGGTGGGTAAAGCCAGTGAGAGGCCAATGGGGAAAAGAGGAGACTCATGTAATATTTTAAACAATAAAGAATTTAAATGAAAATAAAGAGCTGTCCATTTCTGTGAATATTTTTCAGAGTCTATTATATGTTGGAAAGATAGGATTGCAACTTTTGAATATCAGCTATCAAGACTGTTTAACACATTTTAAAAATATAATGAAAATAAAAACATTTTATATTGATTTTAAGTTACACATTTCTGAAAATTTGAAGCAATAACCATGTTATTTATGCATGCAGATAAAACATAAGGCTATAAAACTTTGGATTTTAAAATTAGATAGTTGTCTTTTGTAGTATTAGTTATCTATATATATAAAACCCTAACATGCAAATAGACCAAATGGCCAAACAACCGAACAACCAGTCACTATGATGTGCACTGACCACCAGCAGGTGTGCACAGAACATGGCAGGCATAAACAGCAGGCAGCAGAGCGCAGAACATGGTGGGCATTGGCCACGGTGGGATGGTAGAGCAGGTGAGCAGGGGCACCAGACCAAGACAGGGTGCCAGTCGCTGTCATCAGAGCGAGCCTCTGGTGGTTACTGAAAATTCTTTGCTCCTGTGTGCCGTGGTCCTGGCAGGTGTTTGCACCTGCTGCTGGCACTGGCCCCACTCTCACCCACTGCCAGTGCCTGGTGCTGGCCCCCATTGTTCGGCACTTTCAGCAGGTGCGAGCAGTGGCTGCTGGCCCCAATTGTCCCTCAGGGCTTCTCCACCTCATCCTGCTCCTGAGGGGCAATCAGGGCCAGCAGCTGCCTCTTGCACCCGCTGCTGGTGCTGGAGCTGCCACTCGCACCCGCTGTTGGCACCCAGCGCTGGTCCTGATTGCTCGGCACCATCAGTGGTGCGAGCGGCAGCTGCCGGCCCCAATCGCCCCTGATGGCTTCTCCACCTCCCCGTGCTCCTGAGGGGCAATCAAGGCAGCAGCTGCTGCTCACACTTGCTGATGGCGCTGGCCCTGCTCACACCCACTGCTGTGCTGGCCTCAATCGCTTTGCACCATCAGCAGGTGCGAGCCGGTGGTGGTGGGAGCGGGGCAGCCAGCAGACAGGTGACCAGACTCTGCAGTGGGAGGGGCCAGGTGGTTGGGCATGCAGAGTGGGCCAACACCTGCCCTTGTGCCCACTGCAGCCTCACGGTCCATAGTTCCTTACAAGGTGCATGAATTCATGCACTGGGCCCCTAGTATATAATAAAGGCAAATGAAAAAGGTAATTGGTAATTTTTTTTGTTTTATATTTTTATTGATTTTGGAGAGAAAGAGAGAGAGAGAGAGAGAGAGAGAGAGAGAGAGAGAGAGAGAGAGAAACATCAATGATGAGAGAGAATCATTGATCAGCTGCCAGGTGTAGGCCCCCTACTAGGCATCAAGCCTGCAACCCAGACACGTGCCCCTGACCTGGATTTGAATCCGGTACCTTCAGTCTGCAGGCTGACACTCTATCCACTGAGCCAAACCAGCTAGGGTGGTAATTTTATAATACTATTTTTAATTCATTCCTCAAACAGCTCTGAATTAATTTACTGTGACAAGGTGTTACAACTACCTTCCTGGATGTATAACAAAAGTTTAGCCACCCAATTGTTTCTATAACTTAAGGACTAATTCTTACTGTCACTGTGAAGTAAAGTTGCTTGGTGTGCATACTGAGTAAAAGGAAAAACAAAGCAAACAAAGCAAACAAAAAACACAAGAAATGCATGCCAGTGAATTACAAACACTGCTATTTAACCGGGTTGGGACCAAAGGTTGTTAGTGCTATTGGCCACAACTATCTAAAAAAAACCACCCAAATGTCAAGCTGACCTCTGAATGGTTACTGGGTGAATACCAAGGTTCAATGGTTTGTTTTGGATGAACATCAAGACATGGGGATGCTTGCCCAACACTTTGGTTAGAGTTCTTTCTTCCATTAGCGTAGTTTAGAAAAGTGTTTAAAGTGTGACTTGCTCTGAACATTCATGGTTCTATTTTTATCACTATATTAAACAAGTGAAAGCACTCCATATTTTGAATGTATTCCCTTTTCTTACACTCATATGGGGCTACAGCCACATGACCTTCGTTAGTTAGGAATCATTGTTGATAGCAAGACAATGAATATTGTAAATTCAGAACTCGAGAGACAGAAAGTAAAATCATTACAGGCTCTGACGCTCTCTGAGAAAGACAGACATGGGTGATATAAATGATAGTAATTGGGCTGGAGGCGGGTGGGAACAGGTCCAAAGGACCTCTCTGAGGAGGTGACATGTAAATTGTGGTCTGAAGGATGAGGAATTGTGCAAAGAAGCAGGGAAAGAGTTTGTAGGTGGAAAGAAGTGAAAGGTAGATGTCTGAGGAGAAAGATGTCTGAGGTAGATGACTAGGAACAGAAGAGAGGGTAGCTTAAATTTCCCTACAAAGAACTTTTCTTATTTAGATTATTTCATATCCAATGGAGAGTACCCTGCTATCAAGTAGGTAGCTTCGGTTCTGCTACACTAACCAACCATCCCCAGTCTCAGCCCCCTTAAACAGCTAGATTTATTTCTTACTCACTCTGGATGCCCATCGTAGGCTGGCCAGGTGCTCTGCTCTGCCTCCTCTTCACGCCAGGACCCATGCTGACGAGCAGTCTCTGTCTGGAACCCAGAGGTCACGGTGACAGAGTAGAAAGGGAAAACATAGCCCAGCAAGTTCAGGCTCTTAAACCATCCACACACATCACTTCCACTCGCATTCCATTGGCCAATGCAGGGACTGATCCTGTCAGCAAGGAAGTAGGACTCACCTGTGTGCCCGGAAAAGGAGAAAAACTGTAACTGGTGGTGAGCAGCAGGCGTTTCTCCCATGGGGGTCAGTGAACAAGAACAACCTGGAATCACATGTACAATGTGTGTGTGTGTGTGTGTGTGTGTGTGTGTGTGTGTGTGTGTGTAGACACCTTTCCCTTGTCTCCAGGGAAAAGGTCTATTGCTGTAATCAGATTCTCAAAGGGATCTGTGACACAACAATGATTAAAAACTGCTGGACCAGCTGAAAACTGTCATGTAAACAGATAATTGCTTTACAAGATAATTTGCAGCATGAGTGAGAGGCTGAAATGATTAAGGAATTATGCATGCGTGCATATGTGTGTGCAGGTGCGTGCTTGGCCATAAGGAAAAAGTTGAGCAAATCTGCAGACTAAAGGGACATGGAGGTCTGAGGACAAGTGACTAATGTAATGAGGTCCCAGAAGAAGCCTGAGGAGATGGTGTTCAGTATTCTCTAGAGCAGTGGTTCTCAACCTTCCTAATGCTGTGACCCTTTAATACAGTTCCTCATGTTGTGGTGACCCCCAACCATAAAATTTTTGTTGCTACTTCATAACTGTAATTTTGCCACTGTTATGAATCGTAATGTAAATATCTGATATGCAGGATGTATTTTCATGGTTACAAATTGAACATAATTAAAGCATAGTGATTAATCACAAAAACAATATGTAATTATATATGTGTTTTCCAATGGTCTTAGGCGGCCCCTGTGAAAGGGTCGTTCGACCCCCAAAGGGGTCGAGACCCATAGGTTGAGAACCGCTGCTCTAGAGGTAGCAACTTTTAGGGCTAGAAGAGATACCTCTCCTCTGGTGGGAGGAAGGGAGGAAAAGGTGGGTGACCCTCTGGGTCAAGCTGCAGGTGGAGGGGAAGGAGAGGACCTCCATGTTGTCTGTGACATACGGACAAGGACATTTACTTAGGAGGAGGGGATCGTGAGCATGTTGATAGTTTGGAACAGCTGTAAGGGAAATCTGACAGAGCTGACTGGGGACAAACAGAAAGACTGCCAGTAGCCCGGAGGGTCCGGCTGATGTCGGAGAACATAGACTTGACACAATGCCAGTAACCAGAGTGAGGGGATTTTCCTAATTTGTGCTCAGCTGTCCTGAAGTAGGAGCTGAGAAAGTTACAGTTGAGCTGATCCAGGGCTAGGGATTAGCAGAGCAGGTGCAGCAACATGCTTTGCTGATAATATAAAGTTCAAGAATCTCTGAGCAGGGAAAAAAGACCTAATTTTGCCTTTTAATTTTAACAGTAATGGTGAGAAGCAGACTTATACCTGTAGTTCTTCTTTCTGAGTTGCAGTTCTTGCTCCCTGTACAACCTGTCTTTGTTTTGAGTTTACAACTAATAGGACTAATAATATAACCAATATAGTTATGGGTAAGTAGCATAGCTTATATCTTTTCTTATTGTTTAAGTAAAATCAATCCTGTCAAGCCACCTAAGATTCTGTGTTCCTAATACTCCCTTACTCTACTAGTGAAATCTGACAGAAGAAAGGTAAAAGGAAAAACATGAAAGCTCTAAAAAGATAGTTACATATTCAGAGGCATAAATATAGAATTGCTTAGCTAAGCATCTCGCTATTAATTAGCATGCCATAAATTTTGCTGCCTTGAGTGATTAAGGAAGACATTGTATTTAGAGAAACCATTAAACGAAGACAAAGGAAAAACATCTGTAGTAGTTTAGCTCAGTGCAGACTGCAGTCTGAAATGGCATTGTGTTACTTTTCTCTTTCCCCAGTTGCCTGCCAAGTCCCCGTATTTTCCTGATTTCATGCAGTTACATCATAAGCATTTGGTGAAAATGGTGTTGCTGTTCGTCAAGGCTGCATCTGCATATTGCAGGCAAACACAGACGCAATAAAAATAATTTTGGTTTCCTGAACCACTTTGCTTGAAGTCTGTCATTTTATTTTCCATTTCCTCAGAATGGAGGTTTCATCTCTTAAGTATCTATTGAGGACTGGCAGGTGAGGTGAGCAAGCCACATCTATCATTTAGAATTGTGTTTGAAGCTGAAATTAAATATGACTTTTCCCATCCTTCCTCAATAGGAGGAAGTTAGCAGGAAGGCACGCGAGTTAAACAGAGATTGTCGCTGCAAATGGCTCTTTCCCAGAAGGCCCTCTCTTGGAATTTCAGTTGTTGATAACTAGCAGGTTTCATCTCCGGGAACTCAGATAAGTTCCTCTGCGCTTCTGGCCTGCCAGCTTGCAGACGGTCTCCAGCTGAGGCAGTGCTGCCAGAATGGATAGCAGGAGAATGTACGCGACTCTCTATTTATCCTAAAGTATGATAATTTGAGGGAAAATTAAAATCGTCCGGTTTTCAGTACACCCTACTGTTCTCAGTGCTGGTTATCTAATCAGACAGCACAAATATATTTCTGCATAAAGTCCTGTAAATGGAGGGAAAACCCAAGAAAAGAGGGGAATTAATGTCTTGCCAAACGCCACACAGTATGTTTAGGGCAGGACTGGGCACCTGAGTCCCCTGATTGATCTGGCTGGTGTCTGCCTGCTCTAGCCCAGGACAGCAAGCATGTGGATGCTGAGATCATGAAGTTATGCAAGGGGCAAGGACAATAGATTTTATTTGTTTTTTATTTTTTAAAAAATATTTTTATTGATTTCAGAGAGGAAAGGAGAGAGAGAAACATCAATGATGAGAAAGAATCATTGATTGGCTGCCTCCTGCATGCTCCACACTGGGGATCGAGCCCGCAACCCAGGCATGTGCCCTGACCAGGAATTGAACCATGACCTCCTGGTTCACAGGTTGACGCTCAACCACTGATCCACATTGGCCAGCAGGACAATAGATTTTAAAAAAAATATACAAACACTGACCTGCACCAACCAGTTCCAGAGGCCCAAGGACTGTTTATGCTTTGGGAATAGTTCATTTTTGCAATCTAGGCTCCAGCTCAATGCCTGGCATATCAGTAGATACCCAGTCAATGGTGAATAAATTCTGTTGAATAAATTCAGAGCCTTTAAACACGTAAATCGAATAATCCCATTCTCTGCTTAAAATGCTGCAGTGGCTTCTCCTTTCTCTCAGAGTAAAACTCCAAGCCATGACCTAGGTGACCCTGTCTTTGCTACCTCTCAGACTGCACTTACTCTTCCCCTCTCTCCTCCTCTTCCTCACTTACCCACCTTTGGCTCCTTCTCCACAGGAGGCAGCTCCCTTTGCACTGGCTGTTCTCTATGCCTGGACTCTGACTCTATGTGCATACAAGGCCACCTCCCTTGTTTCCTTCAAGACAGCCCAATGGCGCAGTGATCCCACTTCTAGGAATATAGCCTAAGAAACCAGAAACACTCATCAAAAAGGATATATTCACCCCTATGTTCATAGCAGCACAATTTACCACAGCTAAGATTTGGAAACAGCCTAAGCATCCAGCAGCAGATGGGTGGATAAAACAACTATGGTACATCTACACAATGGAATACTACCTGGCAATAAAAAACAAAGAACTCTTACCATTGCAACAGCATGGATGGACCTGGAGAGTATTATGCTGAGAGAAATAAGCCAGCCAGAGAAAGATAAGTATCACATGATCTCACTCATATGTAGAATCTGATGAACTACATAAACTGCTGATAAAAAATAGATCCAGAGACATAGAAGCATGAACAGACTGTTGAACCTCAGAGGGAAGGTAGGGGAGGGTGGGTGGGAAGAGATCAACCAATGAAAATATCATAACCCATGGATACAGACAACGGGTGGTGAGGGCCTGAGGGGGGAGGGGGGGTGGTAAGAGGTTAATGAGGGAAAAAGGAGGACCTATGCAATACTTTCAACAATAAAGATTAAAAAATAAAGACTTTGACCAAATGTCATTCCCACTGCCCTTTTAAAAATCGCAGCCCTTTTGCAGCCCCCTGCCCACCCATACTTCTGATCCCCCTCGGCCTGCTCTATTTCTTTCATAACACCACCACCTGCTAACTCTAATTTACTGTGTTGTCTACTTATCTGTTAAGTGGATGTTTTGCTACTGTATTCCTTTTGTTAGGAAGTTAGCCTATAAGGGTGAGGATTTTTGTGTTTTTGTTGTTCACTGCTATCCCTAGCATTTCAATACCCAGAGGGTGCTTTTTAAATAATTGATGAATGAATAAATTAATAAAAATGGATTAGGGAAGCAAGAGCGTGGGAAAGTGCAAAGGATCTAGGGTTGAAGCCAGGTATAAAGGTGAATAAACCATAAATCCTGGTAAATTTATAGAGGCAAGCATTCATTTTCATATTAAAAAAGCTCTTGCAAGTCAAGATAAATCTGGCCTACTTTTAGAGTCAAAGCTACAGACATTCATCTTATTAACTGTAGAGCTCTCTTGTTAACAATGTGTAGTTTAATCCCTGACAAATTTAGACAAAGAGCACCTGTGTGAATTGGTGTTTCCCAAAGTGGGTAGGAGGCTCTCTGCATTAGGGTTGTTGGTAAGTATTAAGGTTCCTGAGCCTTATCCAATTTGCTGAATAATCTGTCAGGATTACATCCCTTGGTGATTTCAATGCATGCTAAAATTTGAGAATTATTACTATATAGCAAATGTATACAAAACAATGGGACTATATTAGAACAGTATCTCTCTGTTGCATAATTATTCCGCAGGATGCTATCAAGATTGCAGGTTTTTTAAAAAAGCATTCTTGAATTAATAGAGCAGATAAACACTGAGTTAAATTGAACAGGAATTCTCAGGACCTTTGATAAGCTGACACAATTGTGAATCCCAGCAGGAGGATATAGTATGCTGCATCCAAGATTTACTGCATCAAGCCTATCTCTTTTTAGGCACCTTTTACTGACTTTTGGGGAGTGATTTATCTTTAAAGAAAAAGTCTGGGCATTTCTGTTATAGATAATATCAGAGATTCGTTCCTGATTCTAGCAATCTATAATTCTTTGTAATTCTGTTTTC